TTTGAGGAAACGCTCGGAGCCAAATATTTATATTATTATTTCTGTGAAAGATAGAAATACTGGTAGCATGTTACACATTTCTACAACTTAGTTCAACTATTTGTATGGCATTCGGCATCCTGTCTAATTCCGTGCCACGTACACATCTGGATTGGATTTTTCTAGCGTCTTCAAATTTGCACTTTATTTAATGATTTATAGCTCATACCCAAAATTTGTCTAAAAATTCTGGATAAAAAGTTTAAAATTTTCGGGTGCAATGTTAAAGTTTGTTGAATTTTCATAATTTTTGTACGAAGTTTGAAATGTGGATTTATGTGGGGCTGGTTAGGTAAAGTGCTAGACTTAAAAAAAAAAATATATATATATATATAAACATTAAATAAACAAAAGCAAAATAGCTAAAACTAGTCAAAATGTCGCTTGACTTAATCAACTGACCACAAGGGTATATGAATGTACCTCGATAATTTGTTTCGAAAACGCATATACACTTTCCGGGAGCGACAGACAATCTGCCCCCCATACATGATTCTAGTGCCGAGTTTATGAGCGCGAAATAGAAAATTTATTTTTTGGCTGCATTTCAAAATACGGATGAACACNTAAAAAAAATATATATATATAAACATTAAATAAACAAAAGCAAAATAGCCAAAACTAGTCAAAATGTCGCTTGACTTAATCAGCTGACCACAAGGGTATATGAATGTACCTCGATAATTTGTTTCGAAAACGCATATACACTTTCCGGGAGCGACAGACAATCTGCCCCCCATACATGATTCTAGTGCGAGTTTATGAGCACGAAATAGAAAATTTATTTTTTGGCTGCATTTCAAAATACGGATGAACACAGCAATAAATGCTTCATATAAATAAATCTCTTTAGTTAGCGCTACGATCTACTTCTGATGTGTTTCGAAAATTCAAGTAAAAATTCAAAAACCCAGCATACTTGCATGTATGCATGTACATTTCACATACATACATACATATGCATGGGTATTAAATACGTATGTATGTATATAACTCGAAGAGGAAATGGAAAACAAAATTTGACTAAAAAGCATCAATGGGACGCGTATTGAAATAACCAGAAGAATTGTTGTGATTATTATTCACATATGTACTTGCTGATGCAAACCACCAACACATAACCAAATTGTTTGCAGGTGCCGGCGGGTGATAACCGGAATCGCCAATTGTTCGAGAATTTAATAATAAATACCGGCTTTATAGCGTACGGCGATAATATAGAAGTTTATGTGTATGTAAACCAAAAAATGTAAATATTGAGCTAAGAATGCAGAAATTAACGTTAACGTAAAACTTTCATAGCTCTATTTATTACCAGTACATATTTTACTAAAACAAAATATATAATAATTTTGACTATAGGAGTATGTATGTATGTACGTAAATTCAAAACTTCAAAGTCGTTTTTCCCCCGAGTTTCCCTTTTTTGAGTTATGACGCTATCGAAGTAAATGAGCGACGTGTATATAGTTTCGNTCGGCGATAATATAGAAGTTTATGTGTGGGCATTTACTTCAATAGTGGCATAAACCAAAAAATACAAATATTGAGCTAAGAATGCAGAAATTAACTCTAACGTAAAACTTTCATAGCTCTATTTATTACCAGTACATATTTTACTAAAACAAAATATATAATAATTTTGACTATAGGAGTATGTACATATGTATGTACGTAAATTCAAAACTTCAAAGTCGTTTTTCCCCCGAGTTTCCCTTTTTTGAGTTATGACGCTATCGAAGTAAATGAGCGACGTGTATATAGTTTCGAATTTATACACCATATCTATATACATACAGATGCGATCAACTAATTAGCAACGAAATTCAAAAGGATATTGTTTGCAAATTATGTTTATTTATTTATTTTTAAAATATAATTCAATCTATAACAGAAACCACAATAATAAAAGTTTAAAAGCTTGCACAAATTGCAAAAAAAAAATAATCAAACTTAAAAAAATTGTCATAAAAATTTCAATGTTTTTAGTTAGAATATTTAGTAAATTTTCGGGTATGCAGTTGCCCATTCAATTGTATAAGAAAGTGCAAGTTTCTAGTCGTTAAAAATTACCGTTGATTTTTTAGATTTTTTTTTTGTGGAGGGTATTGTGCATTTTCTTCCATATGACATATGATCCACATTTTTTTTATGTGAAAAAAACAGCAACACCCTCCACAAAAAAAGAATCTAAGAAATCAACGGTCATTTTTAACGACTTATATTTGAACTTCGTTGCTAATTAGTTGATCGCATCTGTACATACATGCATACATTAATAAATACATATGGGCATACGAATGTACTTTTATATTTAGAAAGCAAACTTGCGTAAAAAGATTTACCAAATAGAAATTATGAATGAAAANAAAAATTTCAATGTTTTTAGTTAGAATATTAAGAAAATTTTCGTGAATGCAGTTCTAGTCGTTAAAAATTACCGTTGATTTTTTAGAATTTTTTTTTGTGGAGGGTATTGTGCATTTTCTTCCATATAACATATGATCAAAATTTTTTTTTATATGTAAAAACAGCAACACCCTCCACAAAAAAGAATCTAAAAAATCAACGGTAATTTCTACATACATACATGAATAAATACATATGGGCATACGAATGTACTTTTATATTTAAAAAGCAAACTTGCGTAAAAAGATTTACCAAATAGAAATTATGAATGAAAAATATTGTAGTACAACGTTCAATCGATTTTGGGATGAAAGTGAAATTGACTTTGGTTGATTACGGTATTAGGTTAGAATAAATGAACAAGTAGTTTAGCCAAAAGATGACCCGGTCGGCTTAATTTTCTAAACAGAGGGTTCAGACTTCAAATAATTGATTCTACTGAATAACTGAAAGTTATTTTTGACGACATTAAATATACAATTTATGTATGGACATCTAAATGTACATATATATGTACATATCGCTACATTTCTTTGTACAAAAGTAGGTACATTACNTCTAAAAAATCAACGGTAATTTCTACATACATACATGAATAAATACATATGGGCATACGAATGTACTTTTATATTTAAAAAGCAAACTTGCGTAAAAAGATTTACCAAATAGAAATTATGAATGAAAAATATTGTAGTACAACGTTCAATCGATTTTGGGATGAAAGTGAAATTGACTTTGGTTAATTACGGTATTAGGTTAAAATAAACGAACAAGTAGTTTAGCCAAAAGATGACCCGGTCGGCTTAATTTTCTAAACAGAGGGTTCAGACTTCAAATAATTGATTCTACTGAATAACTGAAAGTTATTTTTGACGACATTAAATATACAATTTATGTATGGACATCTAAATGTACATATATATGTACATATCGCTACATTTCTTTGTACAAAAGTAGGTACATTACAAGAAAACCTAATGGAATTTAAACAAAACACTTACAACATTTGATTAATTAAAGTCCAATATTGAAACCGTAATTTTAAAACAACTTACAATAAAGGAATATACATGTCGGGTTTGGTTAGGTTTATATCTTTGCAAAGAAAAAAAAAAACATAAGATAGGACCTTTATGAATCGGCATAGCGATATTTCATATCTATTTCATTATTTTCAAAGGTCAAACGTTGTTCCATGACGGTTTTGCAAATACACGCATATGTACAAACTATACATATTTTGTATGGATATGTATGAAATTTGTGACATGGCAGATTTCTTCGTCGCAAAAAAGAATCACCGCCAATCCTTTCGCTTCGCCAGATTCATTCGCTCCGCAAGTGATAATACCACCCATATTATTGTTGTTGTAACAACATACAAATTCCCCAAAGAGTCTTTTGGGGAGTGTTGCTTGAGTGACGGTCCTTGACCAGACATAAATCTGGGTCGTTCCGGTTACGTAGACCCGACTGTCGTGGGAACGCATAGATTCCAGTTGCCAAGCTTATTTGCTTTAAAGATGCATTAGAACGAAAACAAAATTTACAACATTTAGCGCTCGCACATTAGTTGCCTCGGTAAATGGTACATTGGTGGACATACATACATAAGTATACTAATTGCATAGTACAAAAACTAGCAAAGTTCAGTCCAAATTTCACGGCATGAGTAACGCGACAAAATAAAATCGTTGATAAAGCAATGTGCTGAACGTAATTACAGAAATATATAGAACCAATTCCGCCGTGAGTAAATGCAAATCAAAGCAATTACAAGCAATTTCTCACAACCTAATTGAAATATAGGCAGACAATGGAAGACGAGATTGTTGACTTTGACTTTTAGGAAGCTGTTAACCTTTAATAGTTGCACATATCAATAATGTTTAAAAGTTACGAACAGACATTTGTGCAACATAAAATATTAGCAATAAACTTAAATGGTATAAAAAATAGGAAAACTTATGCTTATCTTAAGCCCGCTATACAGTTCAATGCTAGCGTGAACGTGAACATCCACAAAGGCAAAGAATTCCATTTGTATTCTTATTACGGTGTTGGCATGAGGCGATTTTGTTCACACACATCTGTTAAAACTTGTCGTCGACATGCGAATGCTTTGTATACGCACACAGTTGAGTGTGAGCTTGAAAAATATGCATATTATACTTTTTCCAATTACTTTTAATTCTATAATTCTGAAAGATATTTTAATTCTCTATCTTTTGGTATATTAACTACTGCAAATAGTGAAGTAATAAGGAAAACATTGGTCAAGCCTAGATATTTTTGCTCGAGCCACATGGCGGCTGGCGTTGACGTTAACGTTAACGCCGCTGTCCGTATTGCCATCTGTAGTCCGTTTTTTACGGGCAGCGACGCCAATGTAGACTCCCATTCCCCATATTTGTGTTGTTGTTCAGTTGCCTATTGGCCTCACACACTTACCTATAAAGCGCAGTTCGCTTTTTGGCTCAATGATCAATTCCTTCGGCTTCTCCATTGTCGAAGCTGGTGGCGTAGTTGTTGCTGTAATCGCTGCCGTTTTGCTACTTTTGTACGAACGATGCGTCAAATTATCCAATGAAATATGAGTATGCTTTTATTTGTATAAATTTTGTTTCTTTCGATCACTTTACACCTCCGCCTTCGACAATTGAAATATATCTTTGATTTTTCCCCGTTTTTTTCTTCAAGGGCTACTAATGCGCTTCTGCCCCTGCCAATAATGCTGCTTCTTCTGCTTGCTTTTTTTCTTCTGCTTCTTTGGGGCTCTGCTTCTTCCACTTGCCTGTTTTTGAACTCGGCGTCGTTTCCAGGTATTTTTCTTTCACGATCCTTTCTCGTATATTACCAAATTACCTTTTAATGCACGGTAAACTTATTTGAATATTAAAATAATTATAGTCGGAATTTACACACTATCCACAATTCCCAAGTCGCCTTTTTCTTCGTTTGCCTGCACCTCCGATTCGCTCATCAATTTTTTGGCAAGTAAAAAATTTGCAACGCATGCGTCATTTTGAATTAATCGCCGTATTTTTGGCACCTATTCGCCGTATTCATTTCTTCGTCTGGGGCGTGTTCGTTTAAGGAGCAAACAGGGTTGCATGAAATTAAAGCCTTTCATACCGGCCGTTTTCACGTGCTGGAAAATCTCGCTCGCGTGACGACGTATGCGAGAAACCGCACGTGTAGAACGCAAAAAGCACGAAGCATGCTTTTTCCAGCATACCGAGCGGTATGCGAGCTCTCGCTTGCTTTCAACTGTCATTTTTGTTGTTTGACAGCTGTGTTCTCATTTCGCAGAATTCTTCAGAGTAGCAACTTCGTTTATTTTGGAGGCAAATACAAATTTAGAGGCAGCCATTTTTCATTTGAAATACATAGTATACATCTCTTTATGCAGATTTTCTAAGTAATTAAGTTTTATGTTTCTGCATGAAAACCCGAATTTGGACGAAACAAAATAAATATTAAACCGGCTGATTGTCAAAGCGCGCAAAAAGATGGGAGTTGACCATCTTTTCGCTTCGCGCTGCCGCTTCAACGATTTATGTGGCATGCTTTGTGCATTTTCATACAATTCATCTTATCTGTCAAAGCGAATCTGTCACGTAAAGCGAAGCAAAAGTTTTATGTGACATCAGCTTATCTCGCTTGCGAGAGAAAAAAGCATGCGAAGACGGCCGGTAAAAGCAGTCGGTGGAAAAGCAGTCTTATTGGGCCTGAGCACACATGAACCAAAAATACAAGATCACGTAAGAACGCGACGTTGTATTTGTAACTGGTTTTGAGAAAAAAGTTTGCGAAAGCGGGTTCGTCAGCTGAGCGTTTGTTTACATCACAAGCACCACTATTTTACACTTTTATCCAAGTAAAGAAGAGTTAATTCAACATGACAACACATTTTAAAGCATTTTGTTGCATCATTTTACCTTAATTGTGCGTTTAAAGTGGCTGACAATAATTTTGGCTAATTTTGGTTTTCGTTGTTTTCTTTGCTTTGTTTACTTTTCGCTCGTTTTCCAGTGATACAAGATGGCGTAGAACCCGCTAAAAAAATCGACTTTTTTCACTCTCGTGTTCTTACGTGATCTTGTGTCTTTCGTTCATGCTGAGCACACTAGCCTGCTCATTCGGACTGAGCAGTCTACCACTCGAACGCACACTGGACTGGGCAGTCGGCCGAAAACAGGTTTCAGTTTTATATACAGGAACTACGCATGAGTGTGTTAGTGCATGTGGCACATGCAAACAAAACGAAATAGAAAACATGTTGTCTATGTGTGCGTGTCAGTCCACCGTCAATCCGCGATTTTCACGAACTGAAATGAGCGTGGTAAACTCGAACTCTCTCCCCGTCTTATCCACAAAAAAACCCGGTTTTAGGCGGACTGAGCCAAAGCGCATCCATACAGTCCGTACAGTCCAGCAGTCCAGTGTGCGGAGGTCCATTGAAATTTTTGTGTTTGTTCTGGCAACACCACATTCGCCTTGCGCATTAGCCTGTGTTTATACACGGAAACTTTTGTCGACCCGATTTTTCCTTTGGTGTTGCTCGTATCATTTACACCCGGTGACTTTTTTCTATGCAATTGTGGCTGTCGACTGTGAACCGCTACCTCAATTTACACAGACGAACGAGAGCACAAAGCGTGTTGCCTGAGCACGAGCAACCCGGTGCCCCCTCCCTTCCACGTCTCGCTGTCTCCTACAAACGGCGAGCTGCCGCAACAAAAATCGCCTTGTGTAAATGAGAATTTAATTACTTTATATATATATCAATCCCGTTACTCCTGCGATTATGCGTAGGCCAATTCACGAATTTGGGTTAAAATTAGCTGCACAAACACAATTTCATGAATCGCAATCATACACGAAAATTTAAGTATGTACTGTAATGACCATGCTCACGAACGTGTACCTAGCATAGCGTATAAACACATCAAGGGTTTTCATCTAAAGTGAAAAAATTACCCTAATCAGAATTTTCTGCGCAGGCGGCCTTTGACCGAGCTTAGGGATTATAACACTTAGTAGAAGTACCCTTCCTGTGTTATCTAAGAAGAGGGGCGGAAGGATATATCTAAATATCTCTTACTCCACTTTTAAATAAAATACAAAACAGAAAATGGATTGTTTATGATTTTGTTTTTATTTAAAAAATATCATCTTCAGTGATGATTTAATTGTCTGGCAGCGATCGAATGATGTCCGAATCTCCAGGATCAGTGATGGACATGGTGCACACACGGAAATATTTACCGCAAGCGGTACCTAATTCAATGTTGGTGCCACTGTAATGTTGAACTTCGGTCTTCGCCAACATAGCGTAGTACTCAATCTCTGATTTCCTACAAGTAAAAACGAAATAAATTTAGAAATGCATAGTAAGATGAAGCAATACGTATGTGCTTAATAATTTCAGAAAGAGTCTCTAGTAGTAATTGAATATCAACATTATATGTCTGCTTAGTACATTCATCATCTAGCAAATTAAATTAGCTAATACAATACAAAACGAATTACCTGGTGTATTTTGCTGGAGCCATTTGGATGTCTGTCATTGCACTTGCCCCAAACATAGGCGCGCTATACAACATTTGTTCTGAGAGTAACTACTCCATAGCTTCCATTGCGAATAAATTGAATTGCAAAATGCAAAAAAACATGGGAAACTTGTATGGGAGCATACTTCTCAGTCTCGAAAGACTCCATATGGCTCCAGCAAGCAAATCAATGGAATACTACTTCTCTGTAGTCGTACACAAATGTTTGCGCTTCTCACCTCAAAGCTGGAGTGTTGCTGGCAATCAGCACCAATTTCGCTTTGCCTTGACGCAGGGTTTTTAAAGCTTGTTTATAACCCAAGCAATATTTGCCAGACTTCATCACCAAGGCCAAACGGGAGTTGGTGCTTTCCAAAGCCTTTTTCTGAAAATGAAAAGAAATACACACTTATTTAGGTTATGTTCAAACAACGGAGGGATTAGGCACCACGTGTCACCGTCCAACAAAAACCTGAATTTACCTGTTTTTTGACGGCAACCATGATTGCAGTTCTCTTAGTATAAATACAAAGTCAGATGGAAATCTGAAAGTTTATAAGATGTTGGAAAATTGTTAAAGTTATTTAACTTTTCGAATAATAAAAAAGCACATCCACCTTCAAAGACGATTTGCAGGAAAAGAAGGAATTTCACGTTGACAGCTGTCAATTAAAACTTCCTTTTCAGGGTTGCATAGAAGTCAACGATATTTTCTTTCTATTTAGTGTTATCGTTTAACTTCATCTTATCGGTCATCGGTTATCTGTTTCTGTTTATTTTTTATTAAGGCCAAGTAAAAATTATAACGTGAACATGTTTAAGTTTATTTCCAGAAGTGATTGCAATATGTATACATACGTCCCAAAAATCTTATTAAGGGTACTCATATATACGCGCAAGTTTCATATTTGGGTAATTGGGCAACTTTGCGCCATGTGTTTCATGAGGATAATTTTATATTTTATGCAATTTCTGACATTTAATTATTTGACTATACTTAATTTATAAAGTTGAACAATTGAAACTCAAATAATTATCCATAAATCAAAAACTGAGAGCGCAAAGTGACAGTTCTCCTGAGAGAAGTTACGAATTCTTGCTGGAAAAATTTTAGCCAGCAAGAATTTGCAATCACGAAAAACATATGATTGAGGCACTTGGTTGCATTTTTGTTTATGATAATTTGAATAAATAAGTTCGTTAAATTTAAAAATTTATAAGCACGAGCGATTATTTATGAAAAAAGAAGTAAATACTTGTTGATATAATTAATTTAGTTAATTATAATGATTTGAACTTAACTCGGCTGAAAAAAAATTGTATTCGCATTCGGAATGCAATTGCAACCAGATTCGATTTAAGAAACCCGATAGCTGGAAGAAAGAAATATACATGTATATCCTGTTTTTGTCCATCTGAAAGAATTTTAAAAATTCTATAAACGTTTATTATGTTTAAAATGCAACCGTGGACACCAGCTGTCAGGGAAACTTGCAAATTCCCATGATACAATAATAGGTGCGTTCGTTTAAAATCTCCAGTTAAAACCAACCAACTGCCAAATTCCGGCGAAATGCCATTTGTTCTCTCAGAAGAGAAAAATATCCCAAATAGTACGCGAACAGAAAATTTGCAGAAACT